TCGCTTATATATTTTTTAAAACCGCTAAACTCGTGAAAAACGTTGCCCAAAAGCAGAAGGAGCTCAGATAACTTCATAAATAAGCATTACTTCACCTGACTTCTCGTCTCAATAATTTATGCAAAAATTAGATTTCTCAATTCTTTAAATCAATAAAACTTCCTCAGAATGAAATTGAAAATCAATTACTGTACCGGCCTAAACATCTCAAAAGCAAACTAGAGATACAGTCAATGCTTATCATTGTAAGCCATGGTTTAAATGGTTGTGCGCTCAAATATCACTAAACGAATCGCGTGCATGTGTCTCTCAGAAATTCAGTTTGTTTTTTGTGATATCTTACCTTCATCCTAACACCCCTTCAAACACTTCCGCCTAAATTTTGTAATATTACTCGCCAGTTGCCTTTTCATGATATAGTCATATTATGGCTATACTGCCTCATATGCGGCATAGCAGTTGTCCGATTTCTCCAATCGAAGCTCAATTTTCTGGCAATATGCATTGGCTTTACTCTGAAGGACGTAATCAGTGCTGAATTCGCATGTCAATCAATATTTATGTATCGTTATTCGGATCTCTGCATAGTTTAAATCTTTCGTGATTTCGTGTGATATTCGAGTGCATGGCGCGATAGTCGTTGATAATCTGAATCTTCTTCTCTACTGAAAGTAGTCATCGTCGCTTCATTTCTTTGCTTTCATGTTAACTTTATGTGATCCCTTTCATCACTCTTTTTGGTACATTGCAAACCGCGTGAGTAACACGGTGGCGCACGCTATAGCGAGAAAATTAGTCTCTTCAATGGCGTTTTTTACGCTTTAGTACTGTCTTGTAAGTTTTTCCAACCGTGGGTGTTCAGGTGGTGTAGTGACAAGTGATGCCATCAGCTAGACGTACGATTAAAGGGTGAAAAGCATGGACTAAATTGAACTCAGCTCTTCTAGTCCTCCAGGGTAGGTTCTTGGTGCCAGACCTGTAGAAAGAGAAAAAACTGATGGTGATGCTGATGTAGCAATTTACTGTAGAGGCCAACTCCAATGCCACTGCAATTCTGAGTGTGATCAGAAGGTATGGCGAATTCCAAGGAGGAATCAATCAGCGCTGAATAGCTGACTATTTACCTTTTCTTCGAAAGTTCTGGTCTTCAATATGTTAAAAATTTATAATATTTGCCACAACCCAATTTAAATCTTCAATGTCGAGCGCTTCGCGTTTTATTGCGAGATTTGTTAGTAACATAGAGAACCACAGTTTTTATCGCTTTCAGATTGTTCAACAGCCAACAGCCAGAGGGGAGGGTCAATGCCCTCCCTAAAACGATGGAATTCCATTTGAATTCGCTGTATTCCAATTTATACTCGCTAATTGTAATCGTACTAATCGGTTTATTCTCTGCCACGGTCAATGTAGTGACGGCCGAGTTGGAACTGGACACTAGCGTTGATTTGGTAAGTCTCAGTATACAATATTCTTGAAAACCTCAAAAATTTGGACGATTTTCCTGGTGAAACAAATTTATATGATGTGAACCACCTGTTTCCACCATCCTTGATCCACGTGATTCATCCCATGCGGCGCGGTGTGCGGATTAGCGGATCCATTGTGCACTGGAGCGCGCAGGCGTACTAATGCACTCCAACGCGTCACCGGACAACTCGTCCGTATCCCGTACCGCTTCTGTACTTGATGAGGCCGACATCAGTCCTCTCTTTTCACGATGCTTTGAGATCAGTAAAATTCTGAGACCAGCTTGTCAAGTCGTTGATGCTGAAGCTAGTATTTTTTCAACTTTACTCGGACAGTATTTAATAAAGCAATAAATATTTAGGGTAACTACAGAAGGGCTCATCGCTCGCAAAAGACAGGGACGCAGACGGGTCAGAGGATGAGTACAGCGCGTGTGATGTGGGAGCTTATATTAGCCATTCATATCGACCGAACTGAGAATCGCTGGACGCGCTGCGCTCGTCGCTGATCCGTCTGCGGTCTCTGCTTCTCGGCGCGCGACAGGCCTTCTTGTCTATGGAATACTTACTTCTAGAAGATAAGTATTTATGAATGAATATGTGGAAGTTGATCAGTACTTTATAGTATTTATGCTAAAAGTTTTGAGGGTGCGGTAGAGGATCAAAGTGATGGTTCATCTTACTTGCTTAGGGATAAGCAAGTAATCGATTATCGATTTCCGTTAGCAGGTGGAGTGCGTTCAGTGTGTGCAGTTATGGCGAGCAGCGTCACAACGTGACACAAAAGCCTGTGGACGCATGCGAAAACCTGCAAAGAAGTGGCATGCTTTCATGGTAGTACTTTTTAAGTTTCCAATCTATAAGACATTCCCGCTTCAATGGATTATCGATTTTTTCGCGATAGGTAGTTGCACAACTGCCCATCTATCATAATGTCAGGATGTGTAAATCTGACACCATGGAAATGGACCATGAGTAAGCTTGAAAAAGCTCAGGACCAATTTTTACTACACTTCATTTTTTCGGGCCTTTTTTCCTCATCATGGGGAAGTGTGTGGCAGTCTTTTGTTCAACGGGTAAAATGTTTCAGTAAGAAATTAAACTTCCCGCAGCATAAGTAGAATTATGGGAGCCGTTTACCCTGCGCAAGACGCTCTGGAGTGCTCTGGAGGGAGCAATTCGCCTGCAAATGTCCGCTCCACCAGCTGTCCTTTGCCCTTCTGCGCGCTGGCCCTTGCCTAGAGGAGACCAAGCCTACTTTCGCGGAAAGTCGTCTGCTGTACAAAAGTAACCCAAAATAATGGCCGCAACTCTTACGCCATACCCTGCGCGCTGGTTTTTTTGTGTTGGCCTGCGATCCAGTACGGAGTTGATTATGTATTTACATTTTGAGCCAATATAGCAGTTACTGCACACCTGCATGAAAGGAGGTGCGAATGGTGGACGACGAACGGAAACAAGGTCGTTTATTGGTCAGCGGTAACTACTGGAGGGCGAACTGACCAAACACCTCCCCCCTCTGCTGCTTACCATTGAGTAATATGGAAAAAAAAGGATAAAGGCAAGCATTTGCCGTTGATCAATCCCTTTTTGGGATGCGGCACGCATTCTACTTCCATTTGTACATTCGTAGTGGCGTTTGAATGCGATGTGGCCTATACAATGACTTGCGGGGGCCAGCCGATGTTCAAGTCAGTGTTTTTATCCTCCCAGACAAGTCTGGTACCAATTGGTTGGCCCGGGCGACTCACGACCCAGGATTTGATCCCCGGACCGCTCGCGTGGTAAGGCGTGCCACTTGCCACTACGACTCTTCGCCTCCTATGGAAAAATACAAATCGGTAATATTGATCTCTTCAGGTGAATCGTAGACGATCTGAGCTACGATTGCGAAGAGTTGGTGCGATACTGCTATGCGAAGACACGTTCAATCAGACGACGTGTATTTGCAACAGGTGACTTATTCCTACCAAAATATACCTCAAAATATTACTAGCACCGAACTGACGCGTCGCACAGCCAGAAAAAGAATTCATCGTGTTTCTATCAGACGTTGATCACGCAAGCTGAAAATCCAAGCGATGTGAAGCATAGCGCCTCCTGAAACTATAATAGGTAGTAAGTATGTACTCAGCTCTGCTTTCCGGATGCTGTAACAAGCCCCAGTACTTCTACTACGGCACAGTATCGCCAAGAATTTCCAACTTAGGCGCGATGTCAGACTTTGCGAATCGCGCGATTCGCTAGCGTCCGCGGTCGCGTTGCGGTACCAGCCAATTGAGTGATTCACTGGCCGCGACGCGACCGCAGACGCTAGCGAATCGCGCGATTCGCAAGTCTGACATCGGCCTTATGTGAGTTCTAGTGAACAACCAATATGATATTCCCCCTTGACACATCCAGTGAGAGAAATCTAGAGTTATTGTTTTATCTCTTGTTTATTTATTTCACTATGCAATAATAATGGTGCTTCACGGTAATAACAACGCTTTTATTGCTTTGAATTCAGAAGAGATAAGTGCAATTCAATACATGCTCGATTGCCATTTTCAACGTATGGAGAGGGAATCTTCAGCGGCGTTGTGAACTTCGATCAGATTATTGCTGAACAGGATCCGAGTGAGTTGGGCGTCACTGATTTTGAGATCCTGGCGGCACATCCCTTCAATCCAGCGTAGCGCTCGACAGTGATACCGGTTACCGCTGACCGATAACGTGCGAAAACTAAAATGCTAGTCATCACACATTGCTAGTCATTGCTATATTTTTACGTTTGTTTTAGTTGCAACTTTTTTGATTGTCAAATCAAAATAAATGTATTAATCAGCTTGTCTCATTTTCTATAGCTGCGTCCCTCATTTTTTTTACCGAAACTTTGTCAATAAAAAAGATTTTGCCATTCCTCTAGGTTCCTTATTTTTTGGAAACATCTCAACAACTTCTTTGTTCGGAAACAATGAAGCATGTCTGGATTGACCTCAGGAAATCCGCATGAACAGCTAAGATGAATTTCCTATCCCAGTGACTTTGCGTACACACGGCACTGGCGACGCACGTGCTCCTCCGATCCCTAAATAGGAGACAATATGGTATGCATTATTTCCGCTAACCATAAGATAAGTAACGCCTCTGTGTGGTAGCAGTCTTGCTTATGTTGCACGGGGGCGGGGGCTTCTGGTAGGATGTCGGAAAAATAATACAGTAGAATGTATGGCGCTTGGTGGATTACAGAGTAAACTTAACCATGTACCTCCATTTGATTTGTTAAATATGCGCATGGTTTAGGCCCAGAAGGGACGATTTGTGAAACAATAGACAACAGGTGGCGGCGCCAACTGAATTATTTTTAGTAAGGTCTAGCGAGCAAGATTTTCGCTCATAATTTGGAATTTCTTTGATTCCTAAGCCGTAATAGTGGAAAGGAGAAAAAACGGCTGTGCCTAGAGCATAAGGTGTTGATCGATTGTTTTCTGAGTTACGTCGGGTATACGCCCGTCCACTCATCGGGATCTTGATCAACTTTAACGAATGCTGCGGGTGGTAAAATAAATAGAACCTCACCTGAAAATTTGGCAGACCTTTCTTCAAAGCCGATGATCTCTATGGTCGAATTGTCATCTTTTACTTTAAAAAACAACTCCAAATGGCGATATCTTTCAAGGATGAATGAAAAAGTATTATGAAATTTCGAGGATGATTCACGAACCTCCAGCGGGTGCTCTCGTTTTTTTGTATTGATTGCACAGGTTAGGGTAATATTTGTAGCGAAACAATTTCATCTCAACCGCTTCATGTTTAAAATGCGAAAGCATTTTCCAAAACATAGAAGGAGGGAGTTTGCCATTGTGGATGAGACATTAAGAGTGTTTATATTGGTAGTATTATCTTGAATTTCAATTATACAATTTTGTTCTGTGGATATTGTTGTTGTGGTTCATTGAGTCTTACTATTTTTGTTTGGATATTCCTGATCCTAAGAATCGAACCAAACAACCACAGCATTAGTTCCAGTGATTAATTTTAGGTAATACAAAAATTAGGGAAGCAGGATTAAAGATTAATTAAAGGTGCTGCATCATTCATTTATGTGGCGGGTCAACAATAAAAGGCCAACTTCGAAACAGACAACAGCTCACGAGAGTCTCTCCATGAATTAGTGGGTCGGCTCTGAAAGCAAGACCGCTTTCAAATGGGCTTGAAGGAAATAAAATGGAGTGTAAAGAAAGCTGGTAAACTCACTGATAGAGTAAAAGAGAGATTGTGTGCAAGCGGACTTCTCTGGTCTATATTACTGAAACGATGCAGCTTCATATTATGCAGATTCTGGCTAGGTCAAGATTCACACAGGTTGTCAATAATGTTAAGTAAGCAAGCAGTTCAGTTAAGAATCAAATCTGATTTGCGCTTTTTAGCAGCAGTGGCCCTCAATCGCCACAACACAAAAACAGACCGTAAAGGTAGAGGGCAGCGATACGGTTGGCTGTAGCAGGGAGAAATATAGTCGAGGTATAACGGGTTCTTCGCGCAAAGAACGGTGCTCGTGGGTTTCAACAGACCTTAAGCTCTAATTCCGCTTTCGTGTCTCTGCCGTCGCCCTTTAGGCTGGTCTCGATCTAATCGTAGGCCCTCAGCCTCATATATTTTTCGACTTTTCTTGAATATTTTTGATGCCTGTTTTTTGGTTTCATGAGCACAGTTTGCTGACGTTTGAATGTTGGAAATGCGATTGCGTCGTTCTTGCATTTCCTTTAAACGATTCGGTTTCTTCACACCTCTCTCAACCTTCTATTTTAAGGTATTTCCCCAAGATACAAGAAATCACTTGCTCAAAATGGAAGCAGTGCGAGTGGATCCAGTGAAGAAAATAGAAGAGGAATCGTGACAACACCGGAAATGCAACGCGTCCTTTATGCTAACGCGGGAATAAACCAACAAATACCAAAAAAAATACGAAATTTGAACCTGCCAGGGTGAATATCGGTCGAGGAAATCCTCGACAGGGGGGTCGTACCTGTTGGGCTGGTCCATGGGGGGTCGTACTCTTGGGGGTCAGTAACAGAAGTGGTATCATGGTGCAGATAGGTAATAGGGTATAGCGCAGCAGAAAATGAAAACATCTGAAAAAAACATGATATTAAATTTTCTTTGCAGGTTCAGTCGCTCCATTCCTCCACCTTCATGAGAAGGGCGTATTTGAAGGCAGTACAAAGAATGAAAGTGCATCCCCGCAAAGAAGAGTGCCACATGTGCGCACGCGCTGCAAAGGCACCTCCTCCGCCTATCACTCGCTCCTTCTCCCTTAATACCTCGCTGAGAATGACGCTGTTGTTAGGGACCCTGTCGGAAAAACGACAACCGTGAAGAAAAAGCGCTGGGCAAATGAAGTTGTTTTTTAGGTTACAGGAATAGCACAACACACTATGTCTACTACAATACAGTTTCGTTCGAAGGTCCCCATCATATAACACCTTTCAATCGATTCTGCAACTGTGAGTGGAGGAGGGATGCATGGCTTATACCAATACCAAATCGGATGATGACGATTGCTCCTATTCTTATTGTTTGCGTTCAAAGATATTGTTCTAGACACATTCCGAGTCACACTTGCAATGGTGAATGAGGGAGCGGATTTCCAGGTGGCCGGATCCGACCTCGATAGATCCTCGACGCAATTATCTCTTCAACCAAAAAGCTGTAGAAGAAAACTAAACAGACCATCAGGAAGCGCAAACCTTCCGCTTTCCAAAACTATCTTCCCTTTTTCAGGATCTTACAATATAAGAGATATATTGCTCTTGAAGTGGCAAAAACTCGCGTGAAAATTTGGGCTCCTCGACATTTACTCGACGAAATTTGACAGACCCTATCTTTCTGCAAGGAAGGCTTCCAGAGCAATTTCGATGCTTGTTGGAAACGCGAAATCCAGCTCTATCTAACTCTACCTCAAGCTGCTTCAAAGGTTGTGAAATGGAGGAATGC